CACTGATATTCTTATTTGTATTTGATAACAACTCGAATCAAATTTAATATTCTTATTTGTATTTGTATTTGAATTTTCCGAATTCGAAACGTCTTATACGAATTCGAATCACGAATCGAGCACAAATTATTTGATTCGTTTACAACCCTAGTACTTAGGCATGGACCCGGTTCGGGCCGCCCGGCCCGCCACTGTGCGGGCCCGGAACTGGCCCGGTTCTCGGGTCCGGGTCGGGCCTAGGCCCGCTGGGTGGGGCGGGTCCGGGCTCGGGCCTTGTATTTGGCGAACCAGCCGGGTCGGGCCCGGGCCCGGGCCGAATTGATTTTTTTTTCATTTTTTGGGGTTAGCCGGGTTGGGCTTGATGGTTAGGAGGGGTTTGGGGGGTGGGGGGTGAGTGGGGGGTTAGGAAAGCAAAAAAAAAAAAAAAAAAAAAATTATGACCGGACCCGGTGGCTACCCGGGCCGGTCCCGGGCCTTCCTTCCCAAAAAAAAAGTCCGGCCCGGCTCCATGACTAGACTGAGTTAGTGCATCATTCTCTTAGGTATCATAGCTAACATGCGGGCATCCATTAATGCCTTATGTTTGGGTGGAAATCTGTGATGGGTCGCTCGTATTTTGAACTCTGGGTGGGTTACTTTTTCCCTGAACTATGGCCCGGTCACTGTTTGAACCGGCCCGGCCCGGCGGCTACCGGTTCCGGGCTCGGGCCTTCATTTTGGTGAACCAGCCCGGCCGGTTCGGGCCCGGTCCGGGCCGGATTTATTTATTTATTTTTTTTGAATTTTTTTTTAAGTTTTTGGGTTGGATTGGGTATTTTGGATCATTTGAGGTGGTTTGGGGGTGGTTTGGGGTTGAAGGGGAGGGTAGGGCCGTAGGGGTTGATTAGGAAAACCCAAAAAAAAAAATATATAGAACCGAACCGGGCCCGGCCCGAACCGGACCTGGGGGTTACCCGGGCCGGTTCCGGGCCTCCCCTACCTTGAACCGAGGCCCGGCCGGTTCAAGGCCCGAACCGGGCCCGGCCCGAACTGAGTCCACCCTTAATTTGACGTGTTTTACTTGCTGTTGCAGTCTTGGTGTCTGAACGTCTTGATGGGGCACATGTTATTTTTTTATTCAAAACGAATTAGGAAAGTAAAATAAAAAGTTCAGCTTTGTCCCTTTTATCTTGAAGCAAGGTTTGGTGGGCATTTTTTGGTTTGGTTTGGTTTTTTCAGAGGTTTTTTCCGCAATGAAAAATGTCATTTCATTAAAAGGCATTACAATCGCAAAAAGAAAAAAGAAAAATAATAATGATAGCAACATATAACAAAAATGAAAAAGTGACATCATCATGCAAAGTTGCAAACACATGCCAATCCAGTAAAATAGCAGCATCACACCAAACAAAATGCCAATACATGCTTAAAACCACTGAATATCTTTAATAAATTTCATAATGTTGTTTAACCTAAATGTCGGTTTTCAGGACTAGAAAACAAAGAATTAATGAATAAGGATTAATGTTTTTGGCTACAAATTAAACATGTTCTTCATTACTGGCACGTGAACCACAATGTTCTTCAGCATCCACAAATAGGGATGATCCTTTCTGGGATCAGCCAGTTCTGGTCAGGGGTTGGTAGATCGGAACTTCAACTATAAAAACTGGGATCCTGTTCCATTCCTAACCTGATTGCTGACCAATTTTCCTTTTTATTTCTGAGCTTTCTTTTATTATAAACAAAAATTGGAATCGATTTCAGTGAGCTATTTTGGCGGAACAGGTTTCAGAATCAATTCTGGATAAGTTTCCAGTCGAGAAGTGAGAACTTTGTATCAGTCCCTATGGCAACCATTATGGTTCCTCACTTCCTCCCACTCTCAGACTCCGTTCTGGTCCGATTTGGGAATTAAAAACGGATCAAACCCCATCTACATGGTGCATTAGAATTTCAGAGGGTGTCCACCCCTACCCCTAAGCAGCCGTTGATTTTTTTATCAGACGGCCAATATTAGCCAAGCACATGTTTATCTTCAGGAAAATGAAGATTTTAACAAAAGAGCCTGGATGCGTTGCTTTACACCACACCAATGCAATGACAACCAAAACAAAGCATCAAATAACCCATTCAAAACCCCCAAAGATAAACGGAATAATAAAAACAAATCCCAAGAAAACACTTCAAATCATAATAATAATCCATAGCACATGCGTCTCAAATCTAGTGAACTAAATTCATGCCAAAACAGTGCTTCTCCAAAAACGTATAGCATCAAATAACCCATTAGAACAATCGCAATTGCCTAATCGAAGAGTGTGAACCCCATGTCTTCATCACTCTCTTCTTTCTCTTCTACCTTTGCTTCTGCAGGAGCTGCTTCAGCCGGGGCTGCACCACTAGCAGGGGCTGCAGATGCTCCACCTCCAAAACCTGCTGCAACAACAGCTCCGCCAATAATCACCTGAAAGAAATGAAGCAAAATTTAGAGCAATAAAAAACGAAAGAATACTTAAGGTTCAACACAATATGGAAATCTTAGAGCAGTGAAAATGAATATCAAGAGAGCCAAATCAGTTTGGGTCCTGTCTATGGAAATTAAATTTAAACAAATATCAAGCACGCAAAACTTAGTCCAGTACATGCAAATATGCAAATGGAGTCAAAACACTCTGTTTTTTGGCTTGGAAACATGATGGTATAAAGCAAAATGACTCACTAAACTACTCACACGGAAACAGTCTTTGGATACAAGGGTAAGGCTACGCACATCTGACTCCCTTACCCCCACTGTAGGATCACCTTTGTGGCATTGGGGTAAGGATGATTATGATGATCAAATAAGCAAAACTAAAAAAATTGGTTATGAATCTAAATACAATGAGAGCTGTTTAATGCAGGCAACATCCTAGAAAAAACTTCAAAAGTTCTGGAGGAAAAAATGACGCATGAAGGTGCCATAACTCTTCATTAGTAAAACAAGTATCAACCTAATAAGGAGTTGTAATTAATGAACATAACGCAAAATCGCAAATCAATCCAAAAATGTTAGTTTTGAACCCATAATGCAAGAAGGAATAAATACTTGAAAGCTTTCAGCACATTAAGGCCATTCTGCTCAAGTATTTTACATACAACTGATTCAATTCCTAAAATTCTAATCGCTTATAATATTAATCAAAAAAGTCTGGAACAACGCCACATCACAGAAACACAAGAAAATTTTCAGAAATCAGAAACGAGGACGCAAAGCATATTACTAAAGTCACAGTTAAAAATAGATCTGATATATCATCTAAACTTGCACACTTAGATGATATGCATATCAATTCAACCGAACCTGAAAAACGGCGGAGTTAGGGCAGACGTAGGAGAAAGATGACTGGACGCCGCCGGAGCTGTCTTCTGCTAGAGCAGTCCGAACCAGCTTGCGCTGTAGCTCGTATGTAGATCCGGCGGAAGCTTCGAGGTCGCCTTTAAGCTGCTTCGCAGTCCACTCGCTGCCGGAGGATCTGCAGACGAATGTAAACACTCCCATTTTATTTTATGAAATTTCTCAATATCGAACCTGTCTGCGTGAGAAAGAGTATTCGTTACGGAGTAATTGGCATTGCTCGCCGGACTTTGAAGAAGAAGTGAAAAAACCCTAAGTCATTGAAATGACGTATTAACCCTCGATGTCACTCCAAATTCACGATATCAGTTCCTTTCTTAATTTGGTCATATTGACCCTGTTTGGTAAATGACTGTTAGCTATTGCGGTTAGCTGGTTGTGTCAACTGTTTCCTAATAGCTAATTGTGTTAGCTGCTTTGACCGACTGATTATATTAGCTGGTTATAAATAATTGTTTGGTAAAATTGGTTGTTTCAAAATGACTGATAGAGTGTAAAAAGACATATAAAAACATGATAATACTTATTGTGATAAGTATTTTATCATTGTTAATAATGAAAATTGTATAACTACTATTACTTCATAGATATAAATAAATCATTTGTATATTTGTAATTTTTAAAATGTGTTGAATAAAGAGGTTTTTACGAGAATATTACTAAAATAAAACTTATTTACATAAATATGATTATTCATGTTCAAAACTTGAACATGAATTACAATGATTTCATTACTACTCTAGTAATGAATTATATTTTTGTAAACCATCTTTATTTTGGTCATATTTATATAATTATTTCTTGAATAAATTCTATTTTAATTCAAGAGAAAAGACATAACTAACACGTAGTAATATAAAATAATACTCCCTCCGTCCCGCTATGATTATCCCATTTTACCTTTTCGGTCCGTCCCACTAAGATTGTCTCATACTCTATTTGGTAAAATTTGTGTGGTTCTAAAGTATTCATACTTTATTCTTACTTTATTATCAATTCAATATCAACCACATAAATCAACTTTTATTAATAATCGTGTCACTTTCTCTTGTCCCAAACTTAGGGGGACGGAGGTAGTATACCGGAGTAATATGTTAGTTAAGCATATACTACGTACGTATTATTTTTTCAAATAGTATTTGGTTTTACAAATACTTAAATCATTAATTTAGAAAAGGGTAACCCATGCCAAAAGAATGAAACAAAAAGAGAGAACTGCAAAACAATTAGTTACGTAAACTTTGGCTAACCAAGGAAAAAGTTACTTTGGACATTGGACATTTGGAGCCGTATACCCCTGGTGGGAAAATCTGAAGAAGCCGAATAGAAACGGTGCCCTCCTTGGCTTCTCTTACCAGCCATTTTTTTCAGCTTTTGGGACTCAACAAGTCAATCTAAAAAGTCATCTACCAAACATAAATATTGGATGCTTTGACTAATGAAACAGCCAATATTGGTCAAACAAGCTAAAAGCTGGTTGATAAGTCATTTGCCAAACATACCCATTGAATTTGAATTTAATTTAATATTTATTGACAAATAAATTGTGGAATTGTAATTTGGATATTAATTAGGAAAAATTCACATGAATAATCTCACCTTTTGGCTTTCTTCCAATAATAATCCCAACTATGAGTAATTCTAAAATAATCCAACCTATACATGACATCTTCTCAAAATAGACCCATGACCGGAATTAAAAAAATTAAGAGATTGTTTGTCCACGTGTCTTTATATAATTGGATTTTAGATGTTTAAAATCCACGTGTCTTTCTTTTCCTTTCTTCTCTCCTGTAAGACGCCCCTTCTTCTTCTTCTTCTTCTTCTTCTTCTTCTTCTTTCCACCCAATGTGAAATCTCCTCTGTTCTCCCATCCCTAACCTACTTCTTCTTAATTTCTTTGTTGCTTTCTCTATTTCTACCTCTTCTCACCTTCTTCCTTATTTCTAATTTCTATACATATTTTTGTTTCCCGGCTTCCTTCATCTTCTCCTATGAAATTTATGGAGCAATTCTAGATTTCTAAATACATGAGCCTTGATGAAACTTTTGACCAAATTAGATCAACTTGGCTTTCAACGCCAGGCCACCATCTTCATCTCCCCTCTCCTTCATTTCCGTTTTCTTCTAGGTTATAATTCTGGAGAAAGATCATTTAATTGAGGCATCCAAGGATTTCCACCTAATTAGACGAAAACGAATTATTGTTGTTGTCAGTAGAATCAGCTTCGTCCATACCCGATCTTTATACTTTTTGGACTGTCCCTCATCCTCACCCCAGATTCAAAGATTAGATGAAGGCAATCTGGCTAGGAATGGGAAAGTTTGTTTTGGGAAGGATTGTGACCGGCGGATCCACACCCGATGACCATATTATTGTTCTTCCTTTTCATTTTCCAATTTTGTTTACCGGTGTAACCAGTAGTGGGTAAATGGGATCAATATGAGAAGACCTCACGTCAATTTGGGATTATTATAGAATAATGCATATTTGGGATTAATCTTGGAAGAACGTTAATAGTTGGGATTATTCTTGTGAATTTTTCCTATTAATTAAAGAGATTTTTTTACTTAGAAGCTAAACGTGGTTCGCTAAACATAAGTATAACATTTTCATATATTAAAAAATTACGCAAATTATATTCTACACTTGTATGTAGTTGTACATCCATTATTTTTATACTCCGTAATATATTTGAACTTTGATCCTGTTAATAAAATCTTCTCATCCCTGATGTATGACTTACCCCTACTTGTGCGGTCTTTTTTTAAAGGATCTGGAACCTCTGCCTTGTTTTGCAGCAAAAGTAGGGTGTTGGGCTTTGGAAGGCCGTCCGATAAAAAAATTAACAGGGATAGACTTCGACGGACCACATCTCGAGGCGTCCTTTTCTTCATCCGCTCATCCGTTGTCACAAGGCACCTATGTCGAGCAACAGAAGATCGCAATCCTTTTTTTAACCTTCTTACGTAAGCAAGCTAAGGTTTTTGTCCTTTGAGTCTTTCTTGTTGCTTTCTTTTTTCTTTTTCTAACAACCTTTAACAATAGTTTTAATTTATGAAAATGTGAAATATAATTTAACGTCCCAGCTTCCTTATCTTTTAATTTTCTTTTTATAATCAACCTTCCTTTATAACTTAATATTTCTTTAAATTTTGCATTGTAAAATATTTTATATATCATTTTTTCTCTTTTTTAATTTTAAGATGAATATTTATTAATTTAATAATTTTTTTGTGCTAACAATTTTAATATTGTGTACATGCGAATTAATAACATGAGTTTTGTGTTAAAATAAATATAGTGTTTTGTAGTTGAATGAGTTTAGTGTTTAAAATAAGTGTGGATATGTAAATATTACAAAAAGAGTGATTAATTTTGTAATTCAAGAATGACAAATTATAAATTATTTTAAAGTTCGAATTTAGTATATTTCTCATTGTTATATATAACGATAGTTTAGTGAATTGTTAATAATGAATCTATTATATGTGCACATATCAAAATGAGCTTTTGACTTTTTTTTATACTCATGTTGTAAAGGAAAAATAGGTAATATTAATCCCAACTATACCCGATCCGCTTTTAATAATCCATAGTTTTGATTATTTCCCTGTAGTCCCAACTTTGGGCCCCCTTTTCCTAAAATACTTCCGCCTACTTAATACCGGCAAAACCGGTAAATTAAACTTTAAACATCACAAGCGCCTCATGCTTCAGTCTCTTTACTTCTCACCTACCTCATATCAGTCACCGTTCCTATCCATAAAAACCCCATCGGAAGAAGCTTAGGTGAGTTTGTTCCGACCGGAGAGACAAATCAGAAGAAGAACCGGGCACGTTGGATCTTTGTCCTTGTTCTCACGGTGGAAGGTAAACACTTATACTTGTAAATCGGAAATATTATTGCATTCAAATGAAGTTGGACTGAAATGAACTTGTAACCTAATTGTCATTCCAGATTTTAGGCTTGTATGATTGTGTTCATATAATTTTGTGTACATTAGTTCATTAACAATTTTCCATTTATTTATAGGTCATACTACTCAAATGGAACACAATTTGAGTTTATTGAAATGAAACTGAAATAAAATTTAAATTTATTTATTTTGTATAAGTTGTACTAAATTTAAATGTCATTATAGATTTAGGGTTGTATGATTGTGTTCAAATCTTGTAAAGACTTAAACTTGAATCTTGTGTAATATATTCAACTGAAATGAAGTTGTACTGAAATGAAGCTGGAATTAAAATGTCATTCTTGATTTTAGGGTTGTATGATTGTGTTGAAATGCTGCTTGTGTAGACTAGTTCATTAACATATTTCCATTTATTTATAGATGATACTTGAGATGGCTACTTCAACTGTGATTATAATTAAGATGTGGCATGGAGGTATCTTTAAGCACAACAACCAGAAATATTTGGAGTATGTAAATGGTGATTATAAATGCTTTGACATCGATGTTGATGAGTTGTACGTGTTGATTTTGGTTAGAAGAGGTAAATGTGGGAAATATAAAAAGCATTGAGGATATTTACCACTTGATTCCTGATCAAAGTTTAGAGAAAGGTTTGAGAAGGGTTAAGCTTGATGATGAAGTCAGGGAAATGTACAAAGTAGCTATGCAATATAAGATCATTGATTGCTATATAAGACATGGACTAAGCTCACCAGAATTGGTGTTACTGCTTGAAGGTGGTGGGGATAATGAGGGGGGGGGGGGGAGATGGAGTTAATGAGGGGATAAAAGGGACTTCAAGAAGTTCAGGTCTAAGTGAAACTCAACCAAATGCAAGGAAGGCAGCACAAACCTCCACTTCACAACCAAACACCTCAAGAAGTGAAGATGGACTGGAAGATGAAGTTATGGATTATGAGGCTTCTGACTCTTCAGGGGATGTGGGAGATGAAGATGGTGAGGACTTAGAGGTCCCACTTTTTGGATTAGATCAAGATACAAGTGATGAGAAATTAGAGTGTCAAGAATAAGAGTGAATGGCTGGAACTCCAAGATTATGCAGATAGCCAAACAACTGCAAAAAGAAGCAGGTCAAGGAAAGTTAGGTGATTCACCCCCCCATACACAGTACAGGAGGAAGAAGATGCACCTCACACCCAATGTGTGAGGAAGAAGATGCACCTCACACCCAATGTGTGAGTGACTATGAAGAATCAGGTGATGATATTCACACACCTCCTGGGAGTGATGGAGATGACAATCTATCAATAACAAAGAAAGATAAAATTCCTTTGGTGGAAGCAAATATTGACTTCAAGTTGCTGAAATGGAAGGTTGGAATTTGATTTGAAAATAGGGAGAAGTTTAAAGATGTTGTGGCCAGATTTGCCATTGCCCAAGGAAGAAATTTCAAGATCAATGTAAGCCACAAAGACCGACAATAAAGAATAGGTGCAAGATGTGTAGAAGGCTGTCCATTTAGACTGTATGCTAGTTGGGACAGTAGATTAGCATGCTTTGTTGTTAAAAGTGTAATGGGAGAGCACACTTGCAACAGAAACATGAAAAAGAATAGACAATTTAAGGCTCCCTGGGTAGCACTACAATTTTTGGAAGTTTTCAAGTCTAGATCTCACTGGCCTACAAATCATGGAAACCATTAGGAGAGCTTACAAAGTGCTAGTGAAGAGAGACTTTGTGTATAAGGTCAAGTATCATACCCATAGAAAACTTCATGGAAGTATGACTGAACACTACAACAAACTTGGAAGGTACTTGGAAGCTCTTAGTCAAGCTAACCCCCACAACTACTTCAAGCTCTTCACAGACCCAATAATAAAGAGCTTCCCTCCTACATTTCAGAGATTCTTTGTGTGTTTCAAAGGGGTTAAAGATGGATGTTTCATCAAAACATTTTTAGGTGGGATGTTATTGTCTGCCATTGGGAGAGACTCCAATGATCAAATGTTTCCAGTACCCTGGGCAATAGTGGAAGGGGAAAACAATTCAAGTTGGGAATGGTTCTTAGGTGAACTAAAAAAACTTAGAGTGTTGTTGATGCTGACCTCACATTCATTTCAGATGAACACCAGGTAATATTATGAAGCTGTTTGCTATACATTACTTATAATTGAACTATTTTTTCCATTTCCTGACCTTATTATGTATGTTTAGGCAGTCCATTTTGAGGGGAGTGGCTAAAGAATTCCCTTTAGCTGAGCATAGGCATTGTGACAGACATGTATTTTCACACTAGCATAAAAATCACAAGGGTGATGAAATGAAAATGCTATTCTGGAAAGTTGCAAAGGCATACAATGAAGTTGATTTGGAGGAAGCTTTAGAAGAAATGAAAAATATTACTCCGGCTGCAGTGAGTTCTTTTAGATCACACAACCCAACTTGTTTTTGTAGAGCCTTTGTTAGGACAACCAGTAAATGTGATGTCAATGTTAGTAATATGGCTGAAACACTTAATGGTTACATAATACATGCTAGAGCAAAGCACACTATTTTCATGCTTGAAGACATAAGAGGTGCATTAATGCAAAGGCTAGTTGTGAAAAGGCAGCAGGTGGAAAAAACAAGTGGTATGTTGTGTCCTAAAATTAAGGCTAGGCTTGAGAAAGAAAAAGATGAGGCTGCCAATTGTACCCCTTTGCCATCTAGTCAGATTTTGTTCCAAGTGTGCCACAGACTAGACAGTTTAATAGTTAATTTAGAAGCTAGAACTTGCACTTGTAGGAAGTGTGACTTGAGTGGAATACTATGTTGTCATGCCATTTCATGCATTTTCTTCATGAATGACACACCTAAGAATTATGTGCATACCTGCTACATGTACTCAGGGGGTATTGCACCCCTTACTGGAGACAGAAATTGGCCTAAGGTTGATATGCCTTTAGACCCCCCACCTATGAAGATTGGTCCAGGTAGACCTAGGAAAAATAGAATGAAGTCACCCCATGAAAACCCTAAGAAGCCTGGAAAGTTAGCAAAGCATGATGTTGAGATGGCATGTAGTGTGTGCAAGTCAAAAGATCATAACAAGAGAAAATGCCCGGATAAAAACAAGGCAGTTCAAGCTCAAGAAAAAAGAAACATGTGCAGACCAAAGAAAGCTATTCAGACTGAAGAACAAAAACAAAGCAATGATTAATCTAATGCAGAGCCTTCAAGAATAGGGAGGGGAGGAAGACTTATTCAAGCAAGAGGAAGTAACACAGGGGGTAGAGGCAGAGCACCTGGGGACAGAAGAGGGAAAGCTAAAGCAGTAAGAGGAAGAGGTAGGGGTCAGATTCCTGTTGGATTTGATTCCTTATTGATGGAGAAGGAAACACTTGGACCAATGTAAGCAATTTACATATATTGTTATTCATAATTGCAATTGGTTTTGGAGGTATTATCCTGATAATGTCATTACCATTTTCTGTTTTTTCAGCCTCCAGAGAACCAAGGTGGTCCAAGTAATTTATCAGATCCTTCAGTTGGTTCTTCATTTGCTTAGCTTGCAGTCCAAAGTTGCAGTCCAATGAGCTGATTTTTAGTTAAAGACTATGTGTATTTTGAAGCTCTGTATTTGGAAGATTTTAAGTTTCAGACTTTTAGTTGTAGTCAATACACCTCTGTATTGACTGAAGTTTGTGTGTTTCTTAGTTTAATTTGTTAAATGACTTGAAGACTTGGTACTATTTGGAGCATTTCTTTTACTGTTGGTTATTGTTGATCAGTATGCAGGTTTAAGGTGTTAGCACGTAACTTATACATGTGCTTCATGTTCACTTTACTATTGTTTACTATTAGGGTGGTAGCATGTAACTTATACATGTGCTTCATGTTCACTTTAAAGGGTCTGTGTGTATCATTTAGACCTCTATAGAGTAACTTTTTTAAGGCTATTGCTTTTGAGGTGTTTGGTAAGACTTTTAATTAGTGTGATGTGTTATCGAGCTTAGTTCATGGCTCAAGAAGTAGCTTCCTGATATCCTTTGCTTTGTAAAGAAAACAACAATGCTCAGTTGGTCAAAAGAGTAACAGATTTTCATTACTTCAACATTACATTAGTTCAAAGGAATCCTACACATTACAATGAAACCAACTCCTCACAGAATGTTGTAACACCTCTCACAACTATTACCACAGCCAAACTCATCTAAAACACATATCTAGAACTCTAAGAATTGGGCAACACACTACCGAGTTACTTATAATACAACACAATGCAAAACCAAATCCACGAGGCAAAAAAACAATCAAAGCCATTCTTTGTGTTTGTTGGTTGAGTTCTTGCGTCGCGACTCGCGATTGAGAAGAAAAGATGAAGACGATTTGGCCGTTGAGTTCCGTTGACTATGTTCACCTTTCACTTGAGTGGACGAAGAAGAAGAATAGAAGATAACAGGGACAAGGGTTTTAATGTATAATTAGTAATACACGTGCGTTGCACGTGTTTATTATTGAGAGAATTCCCTAAATAGGAGTAAAAACGTTTTGAAATTCCAAAATAGGAGTATCATGTTTTTTATTCTCTAAATAGGAGTAAATTTCTGCCAAGTTTGGGCATTACAAGGCTTTAAACATGGCATTTTCTTCCAAACTTGGCAGATTACTCATATTCAGGGAATAAAAAACATGATACTCCTATTTTGGAATTTCAAAACGTTTTTACTCCTATATAGGACAATTTCTGTTTATTATTCCAGTTATAACTTATGTTTACCGGTTAGTGAGTATTTTAGGAAAGGGGGCCCAAAGTTGGGACTACAGGGAAATAATCAAAACTACGGATTATTAAAAGTGGACCGGGTATAGTTGGGACTTGGGATTAACATTACCTATTTTTCCTTTTGTAAATTATGTATACTTATTTGGTATTGGTGTTATGCTCATATTAACATGTTATATCAACGCCGACGAAACTCACACGACCAAATTTGAGTTTGCTCACATAACCTCAAAGTTCAATAGTAGATAACACAATACTCGATCAAAATAATTTGATGCTCAAAAGAGCTCTTGATATTTTTATATTCAATTGTAGAGGAGGTTTGATGCTCAATTAAGACGTCTTTATACTCAAATGATACTAATGTTATGCTCATTTTAAAAATGTCATATCAATGTATATTTCAAAACTACCGTATTACATTAGACCCGCATATTGAAATTCATATGAATTGATTATAAATATAATTTAATAAGTTTTTATAATAGAAAAATAAGAAAAAGAAAGTGCATTAAAAGATATGAAGCAGAGATCGTGATGCTCATTGTTTGGATCCTAATACGCAATAGAATAAATCTGATACTCAGTAAACATACATTAATGTTCATTTAGCGGAAGTGAAAATTTTCACTTAAATTACGAAATTGCCACCGGTTGTACGGTGTTCACTGTACAATTGGTGGTAGGATATAGGCGCTGAAAAAATTATAAGACACTAATATACTCCCTCACTCTCTTAAAATCCTTCTCACTTACCTTTTTGGGACGTTTTAAAATTTCTTTTCATTTTCCTCTTTGAAAAGTTTTGTGTAACTACCATTCATTTGTCTTTTTCTTACTCAATCACAACCATACATTTATGTTGCATTCTCACTTGCTTAAACTTCGATTCAAGTCAAATCGGAAAGAATTTTATGGGACGGAGGGAGTAGTATTGATACTACAATATGAAAATATTGCAAGATTGAGAGTAACTATTACTCCCTCCGTCCCGAATTGTAAGGCACTTTACGGTTTACGATGTTTGACCGACGATAAAGCAAATGGATCCTTGTCCGCACTCAAATTATTTTTAGAAAAAAAGGAATTACATATTCAGAAACTACATTTGATAAAAATTTGATATACAAAGGAAGAGATTAAAAGTGATTTGTGTTGACCAAGTGATCATAGGAAAAGTATCTTACGAAATGGGACTGAGGGAGTATTATTTAGGAGAAACTTCATCCTCTTATTTATGGAAATCACGTGTTTCCACTCCATTTAGGAGCAATTTTGTACTATTAAAATAACAATATTAAGAATAAAGTAAAGCATAGAAGTACAATAAATGAAAATATAGTGTCCTAATAAGATGGAAATGGTTAAGTAAATTTGATCGTGCGTAATTCTTGGTGTACACAAAAGTTGTACACAGGCACTAGGGGGTGTGTGTACAAATTGTGTACTAATTTTGTGTACAACATGAATTTTTCTTTCATCTTAGTTTGAAGTGTGATGGAGAATGACGTGTTGGATCTCCAAACAAAGCATACAGTTTCTACCCATTAATATAATTCATCCTTTATTAGTTGTAACAGTTTGAACATTAAGTTTTTTTATTGCATCTTCATCTTCAAAAGTGATGAAGATGGAATAGAAGATAATGAGGATGAGGGTGAGGAAGGAGTTGGTTGTAGCACCAAAATAGAGCTACAAACGGGGATCCAAAAACATAATGGTGGCAAGTTACGATCACGGGAGCTGGACGCAAACTCGGTGTCCGTGAAAAAACAATAAGATAAGGGAAGTTGATTTCTAGCATCATGTTTCAAGTCAATTCTAACATTATATATACGATTTTATGTTATTGTTTACTTTGATACTTGTGTCTTTTGGTGAGTTTTGTTGCGAGAAGCCTTTACGGATTAGAACTTAGGGAGTGTTTGCAATTGCTTCAACTTTAAAAAAGTGATTTTTTAAAGTGATTTTGGGAAAAGTGATTAATAGTAAAAGTTGGTAGTGTTTGAGAAAAAAGTGATTCTGAAAAAGTAAAAGTTGGTAATGTTTGGTAAAATAAGTACTTTTTGTGTAATAGAAAAAGTGAAAAGCAGTTTAAAGCACCCTTCCACCTGCTTCCAGCTTTTAGCTTTTAAGTGATTAATTTAAGCAGAAGCTGTCATTTGAAAACACTCTTTTTAGCTTTTTTTAAGCCAAAAGCTGAAAAGCGCTTTTTTTAAACAACCGCAAACACTGTTTTAGAAGTGATAAGGTTCATATGGTAAATTTAATCTTCAAGACTCTCACTAGCTTAGCGGATTGAATTTCTCTGAATAGCACCTACAAACTAGATAATTAAATGTGTCATGTTATATGGATGTCTAGATCCATTCACGATATGAGCATGACAAGTAGGTATCATGCAAATCGAGTTGAATGTCAATGGGTTGCTATAAGCTTATAAATAATACCTTTACATACATAAGAAGAATAAACACAACACTTTTTGTATTTGATGTCAACAAATAGCTTATTGAAGTAGGTTTCATAGACGCAACCTTTCAAATGGACGAATATGCTTTTCAATGACAATGACATTGTAAGTAGGAACAATTTAAAACAAGAGGCAATATTTTATTTTACAATGAAAGGGGAATTTATAGGCATTAGCTCTGATTGAACAAGCTATAAAGAGATCGACTATTTACATTAATAACTACTTCCTTTGTATTTTAGAGTTTGCTACATTTTCCTTTTATGAATATATTTAAAAGTTTGTTACATTTTTCCTTTGTGGTAATTTTTTTTTCTTTAAAAATACTCAATTACCTTTATTTTTTCTACTTTTTATCTTCTCTGTCATACCTTTTCACTCTCTCATATTTTCCTACACTATTCATTACTCCTATTATTTCTTTCTTAAATAATGTGGCCAAACATATTGTAGTGAACTTTTACATATAAAGGGAGTATGTTCTTTAGTATAGTATCATACCTATGACAAATCTTATAAAGCTTTTAATTGTTGACAAATTAAGGAACAAAGATCTCGTTAATGGCCCAAACATATATTTTGGTGCTTATTCTCATTTGAGGTATCAAATATGCATAAAAGGGGGAAGAAAACCAGAAGTCTAGGGAAAAGGTCATCTTCACAAAAGGTTGTTCCGCATAACTCCTCCCAAGAAAAAGTTGGGATATATCGTCCAATCTAATAGCACTTCAAACGTCCAAAAAGAAGTTAAATTGAACCATGCATTGCCTAAGGTCCTTGCCAATTTTTTCATACAACCTCTTGGAGCTCTCAGAACTTTTGCTAGTCAAATGAACTATGGTGAAACAAAGTGAAGAAACGGAAACTAGGTTGATCAATCCCGATTAATTTAATTTTTGACAATTAGGATGTTTTCACTTGGACTGAAATTTGTCGGTGGTCTAGTCTGTTTAAGTCTGATCTAGTCTGATCTGATAAAACTTCTGGTCTCTGTGTGTTTTATAACTATAGAAGTCCGATCTTAACCGTCCAAGTAAAAACATCCTTAATAGACAAATCTTAGATATCATAGTAAAACTAAAATTTTCTCCACATGTTAATGAATGACAATGACATCTTAAGTGCAAATGTCTTCTGTATTTACTTATTTACATCTATCAATATTTGTTTATTGCATTTCATAACTGAATGTATTGATGTCATTTAATAGCTTGTTTCAGATCATCAGCACAATTGGTAGTACCTTCTACCTTTTACTAAAACAGATAATACCATTTAAGATTCCAGATATTACCATTTAAGTCAAACAATCCCAACCTGGACAACATAAAACGTTAACAGCGACAATTTTAGGGACATTATATGGAGTCATTCATGACTTTGATGTGTAAGGATGCGTTTATCATTCACACCTCCATCTCCATTCACATGTATATTGGGGTCACCCCACTAGAGAATGAATGAATGATGATGATGATGATGATGATGCAACACATGCATATATGCCATATATGGCTATAA